ACATTATGCTTTGGGGCTGTTTACTGCTAAGGGGACAGGATGACTACACTGGGTTGAAAAGATGGATGGAGCCAAGTACAGGGAAATCTTGAGTGAAAACTTCCTTGCCTCAGCCAGAACACTGAAGATGGGTTGTGGATGGGTGTTCCAGCATGACAATGACTCAATGCATATAGCTAAGGCAACAAAGGAGTGGCTCAAGAAGAAGCACATTAAGGTAATGTCAGTCAGTCTCCAGACCTTAATCCTTTAGAGAATCTGTGAAGGGAGATGAAGCTTCGAGTTGCCCAACGATAACCTACAAAGCTTAAGGATTTGGAGAGGATCTGCAAAGAGGAGTGGGCCAAATCCCCCCCCACCCCCAGGATCTGTAAAAATTTGGTAACCAACTACAGGAAACGTCTGGTTGCTGTGCTTGCTAACAAGGGTTTCTTCACCAAATACTGAGTTATATTTTGCTATGAGGTGAAATAATTATTTTTTCAATAAAAAAGAAATAAATGTTCAAAAATTAATATAATGCGATTTTTTGGAATTTTTAAAATATTCTATCTCTCACTTTCAAGATGGACCTACACCTGAAAATTATAGACTGTTCCCATTTTCGTAAGATGGCAAACTCAGAAAATCAGGAGGGGATGAAATACTTATTTTCCCCACTGTATATTATATATTCTAGATTCTCCCATTGTTTTTCACATATGAAGACAGCAGCTCTGTTCTTAGAATCAAACAGCCACAATATTGACTCATATGATTTATTTATATTGGTGAAGACTTGTGCAAACCCAACCACATATTTTGGAAGAGACAGAGAAGAATACAGAGAACTGGTTGTGCCACAAAGTCTCCACATGACCCTCCTCAGGTTTTGGATTTAAACTTGTCCTTCTACTAGACTGGTTGTCAACCAAGGCTTATAGAGCTTAGTCTATCCTGCTATTTACCTATTGCTGTGCAGGGAACAGATGGATTCATATTTTTTCCAAGGGTATTTGCACATCAGTTAATGTAATGAACTTGGTTAGAATTTGAACTTAGGACAGTGATTTCTCAATCTGAGCCACTATCAACTACACATACATGCAGTGGTTAGTAGAAGAAATTAGTTTAATAGCCAAAAAATCAATTTGCCTAATTATCATTAAGAAGTTTCAAATAATTAACAGTGTACTTTTAGGACTAGTATACGTGGTTATTTAAGACTGTAATTCAAATTGTCATATTCACATGAACCCAGTATGAGGAGACTACATTACTGTATTGTGATTCTGAAAATAATGAACACAAAAATTATGAGCCATTAGTGGAAATATAGAATTAAATGATTTTTTTAGATGAAGAAAAATGAAAATTGCACAAGATAAATTTATTTATAAATTCAGGGATATTAAAAGTCATGATTAGTATTATTTATTATGGCTAGCATTGATATGAACTACAGCCTCAATTTGACATATGATGAAGGAACACAACTTTTTTTTCATCAGTTCTACCATTCCCTTTGACAGTAAGTACAAATTTCTTGCATGTTCTTTGGCTCTCTTTTATACATCCAGATTCTCACTTCTCTCCACATGTTCAATTATGTTAAGATTATGGCTTTAGACAGGCTAATATTGTAAAACTGCCTTATCTTTATTAGTAAGAAACTTCTTTGTTGCATATGATATGCTGAAATGTTTCACCTATTGCTATACTTGGTAATATATAGGAATTTAGTAAAGTAATATATTTTTTGTGGTTGATTTTTATCAACTTTCTTGTATCATTGCTTCTGGTGTGGCTACAAAACATTATTCCTCCACCACCAAATTTTAATTTGTTGTCTATTTTGAATTGTTTCTTGTACCAACTGGCTTTTGTACATACTTTCTTGAATTAGAATTCAGTTCTGTTTTGTTGCTGTCACTATATAGAACTTTTGTGCATTTGTTATTATGCCATAGCAGATGTTCTTCATAATGTTCTATAGCACATGTTCTAGTCTTCTTCAATGATTTTTGGTTAATAATGGCTTTATTGTTGCAATACATCAATTTATATGACTTTTTATATAGTATTCTTATGATTGGATAAGTAGACACTTCAGTAATAAGATTGCTTTCATCCATTACTTGATGAGCTGTTAAATTGGGGTTGGATAATGATAACCTTACTAACTTTTTTTTATTTCTTTGTTCAATTTTTATAGTCTACCAATCTTATTCATATCCAAAATGCTCCCAATATCAGTATGCTTCTTCTGGGTAACTTGAACAGCATGCCTTAATATTCCAAACTCCTTAGCAATTTTATGTTGTCTCATTCTTTGTGACATTTCAATAATTTTAATCCACTTCTTCAAACTCACTCTTGCCATTTTGAAACTTAAATCAACTACACTAAAAAGATAAGTTGAAGGCATCACACTTTATTCAATTTGTATTAACATAAGAAATTTGCATAAATATCTTAATCTAGGATGATGCTGATCTTGAAGAGTGTCAAGTAGCTTATAACATTTGCATGCCTTATTTTCAGTATCATGATGCATTCAGGTCTGTTTCTTCCATGGTACTGTGTTCACATGAATACAACAACTTGCATTGCAATCTTGAATGACCACAAATACTACTCCTGAAAGTATACTGTTAAATACTTATAGCTTCTTAGTAAAAATTAAGCAAATTGATTTTTTTTACTTAGGTGGTTCATTTCTTTTACTCGTCACTGTACTCAAATGTAGTATGTATTAAACACACTTCTGATTATGTCCAAATAGACTTTGCACTCAGAGAAGCTAGGTGCAGGAAAACATCCACTCCAGAGAGAAGAGAGTCTTAGACATCCACATAAGAATGTAGATTCCATGTTTGGAAAAGGCACCAGGATTGGTTGATGGTAAATGACAAGGTACAAAATTGAATAAAATGTAATGTTGTATACAAGAGATTAAGTCTCATGTTTTCATTAGTTAGCACAATAATAACATTACACAAGAATTTTGTAAAAATATTTTTATATATGTTTTTGCGTCTTTACACTTTCAGCATGAGGATATTAGCCTTAATAACCTGTGGAATAATGATACTGACTAATCGCATAATTAAAAAATGTAAAAAGATTGCATTCATTATATAAATCAGAGAACCTGTGTCCCATTATTTTTTTCATTTTATGATTAAGAGAGATTACATGTGTTGGTGTATATGGTCTTAAAAATATTGTTAAAAAATGTCCACTTGATGAGTGATTTTGATCTGTAAAAATTGAAAATAGCTTTTAAATGTAAGCTTATTGCTTATATCTGTCAAAAAAATAAAATGGCTCTTGTAATTATTTTTAAAGACAAAAAGACATGGAGAAATATGATGAAAGAATAACAACTTCTTCCAATGAAAGTGAGTGGTTCCTACTTTTGGGATTACAGAATTGCTTCCAGTTTGCAAATTCTTTATTTAAAAAGATATTGTTAATTTGTAAATTTTGATTCAAACAATTCTACTTTTATTATAATATTTAAAAAATTAGACTATCATTAACTCCAAGTACAATTGATACATAAAATTTGATTTCTAATAATTTCTTCTAATTTTTATTGTTGTTGTTCAAGATGTAGATGATTACAATTCTTCTAGTATTAGTTACTAATACTTTATTTGATTGAAACAAGAAAAGTGATAATGCTATCCCTTCTTTCTATAAAAAATATTAATAATAACTAATGTGTATTGACACAAGTGGAAAGTTGCTTTTATAGAAAAAGATATGTTTTACTTTGTAAAATTGATAAATTTAATTGAAGAATTTATCAAAAATGTAATTTTATTTCTGACTGAAAGTTTAGTAGTTGTTGACCAAACCAAAGTTGTTCCCCCAGATTTTTGTCTTAGATTAGAATAAACTACAAATTAAATAACTCACAGGTTTTACCAATTCTTAAAGTGAAATTATCTAACCTTTTTCAAATATAGATACAAAATCAATGAAAGGAATAAATAAAAATAACTTTTTTTGTCTTTCCAAGTACAGTCATTGAATAGAGAAAAGTTTTTTTAATTTTTATTTAAACCAGAAGTTGTTTTGCTCCAGAAGTTTTAAAAAACACAGTAAAATATCAATTAAAATTAAAATGTATTTAAAAAATGTGATGTTTAACACCAGTTTAGGGACACGTGTAAATGTGGATTACTGCAAGAAATTTATGTCAGTGTGTCCTGAATGTAAAATGTGTTTTAAACAAATCTATTTAATATTTCTTGATGGAAATTATTAAATTTTATAAATCAATCGCTAACTTTTCAGTTTTTAAAATTTCTCCTGCCTTCCTAGTGAGTGAGTGTGTATGCAATGAATGGCATGATCATCGCGTATTGTTTCATCGTTTACTGATAAGCCGAAGCGCGTGTAAGCATTTTAACTTTCAGATTTTGAAGCGGCAATTGAATTTGCGAGGTAGAGGCCTCATAATTACCAATTAATATCAGTTTCATTTCTTCTGTTGTACTTCTTTCTTTTGTCTTGATCCAATACAGTAAATGAAAATAAGAGTGCATTTTTCTGCATTTTCGATTGTAACTGCTTAACATCTGACCCACCATATATTCGAGCAATGTGCAAAGAATGCTATACTAACAACACACTACTAAAAGTAACGATCATTTAGATTTCTCTTGAGTTGACTGTTTAGTAGTGCTTAGCTTCGAAAATTTGCTATCTACTCGCAAATAAGACATGTAGACGTTTGCTTTTTTAATTCAATGTCAAAATATACAAAGATATTTCTACACTAAAAATGACCTTGAAATTTTGTCAATAGCATCGCTGGTTCGACATAACAACAACAATACTAGATAATTTAGGTGTTGGGCATAATGCGGTCATAAATTATGATGAGTCGAATTGTAGGCGAGTGGCGCCAACGCCTTATAAGGCGGATGGAGTGACGTCATAGCGCGCTGGCATGGCACTCGCTCGCTATTTGTGTGTGCAAACGTGAAGATCTCACTCTCTCAAAAATGGTTGAACCAGCTAAAGAAAAAGAATTCCTCAGGAAGAAATTCCGTGTGGAGGAAGTCTTGAAGAAAAAGTTCAAGTTATGTGATGCTAGTTTATTTGAAGGTAAGTAAAGAGAAGAAAGCATCCGAAACCGTAGTGATGTGCATGTGTTTGTGCATATATATGTGGTAAACAGAGCCAAAAAGGAGAGAGAGGGAAAGTATGATTACTACTACCTCATGGACTCGATGTTATCGGTGTACGCATATGTGTGAATAATACACTTATTTGGAATGCTTGTAGGTTATTTTAAAAAAGAAAAACTCCATTTCAGTGCCACTCTTGTGTGTACTAGATATTTATGACGGATAGAGTTGTCAATATTAACGTTCTATGTGTTATAACACTTTATGCTTCGTCTTTTTAGTTGACTCGACTAAAACTACAACGCGGCTTGAAGTTGTAGTATATTGCTGTTGAAATATTGCAGAATTAGAAATAAATCAGTTAGCACTAATAATAATGGAAATAATCAATAAAATAATTGCAAATATAGGCATTTTATTTTTTAAGTCCATTGAGAGTTGGTTTGTCGAAGTGTGTGTGTGTGGACAAATAATGGATATAGGATTGAATCGACGTGTAGCAGCACGATTCGATTCTTTGCCACTAACAATCAATCATTACTCAACATTTTCCATCTTTATATTTTTATGGCTATAAAGATTTAAAACATAATTTCCGACAATTAGACAATTAATCGGACGAAAACTTTTGATGCCAACATGATCGATTTTTTGTGTAAATGCTTGAAAATGTAGCAGGGGCAGTTGAGTGTAAAAATTAGTTTAATTAATAGGCACGTAACGAATGGTAATGTCATCGATAAATAAAACGAAAAATAATATCCTATTTCAGCTTAATGATAAAATAGATAGTTTAATTGTAATTTTTGATGGCTGTTTTCCCGTTTTTGTTCTTTTTATCGTTCACTAATTCAGTTCGATTAAATTACTAATCTTTGAATCTAGTATCGATAATTATTTAAAAGCAAACACTTTTTTTCTTCCAACATGATTATTTTTTTTTTTACCAGATCTTCAGCTACTTTTAGAAGTAGAGTACACTTTAAAAAGCATATTCAAAACTGCAACATATGGTTATAGATTTATTTTGCATACACGAATTGATATAAAGGAGAGACAGTAAAAACAATTTTAAAATAAACATAAAATCCCTACGGACCCAGTTTTTATTCTTTTTTTGGTCAAGGCAACAGATTTTATGAACGGAAGGATATTCTTATCTCCCTTTTTAATGATTGAGCCTTCATCAATTCGTAAATCTTGTAAAATTACTAAAATCTCAAATGCTCTCTGTACGTGTCATATTTCAATTTCAAATATTAAGTACTTTCTTTATACACTCCAAATTATTTTTTTTATTCAAAACAAAATTAATAACACTCAGTTAACCAACTGGCGATTATTAAAGAGTATTTAGTATAATTAATTATATTTTATTGCCTTTTCTTCTTACCTATGGCTTTCATTTTCACTAAAATTTTTTAATAGTAATTTTCAAATAAGTCTCTACTTATTTTCAATTTTTCTCTTTTCAACGTGCTATTCATTTTTTAAGATTTGCTAACGAATCTTGTAATTTGTCATTAGTTCTGATAAGTTTAGCCTTTTAATTTATATTGCAAACAATAAGTTTGGTGAATTAGACATTTTCTTTAAATTTTATTTTTAAAGTTTTTCATTAATGAATAGTGTTAATTAAACACATTAATCAGTGCTGTATCATTTTATTTTATATTTGATTTCAAAAGTCAATAAAATGTATCATTCTTTAGTACCTTTTTTTAATTTCATGAAAAAATAATTATGATATAAAATTTTGTTTGGTCTATAATAATCCTTATTTTTTGTTTACAATATTTATTCAGATAAACTCAGATGCATACACAGAGATAAAGAACCAAGTTAATACATTTAATTAATTCTTCTAGGTTACAAGCAGACACACAAACTTTGAGCTTTCTGCTTTATATATCAGGTGTGTACATGCCAGATAGTGTTCCAATTGGCCCTGGAATGTTTTTTTTCTTTTTTCCGAAAGGTTTGAATCAATGACTTCAAACAATATTGCCATTCTTGTAATACAACTATTATTTCCAATATTTATTTAACTGCTTTTAAATATATGAAGTAGATCAATAAATCCATAGCCTAACATGTAGTTATTAGGTGAATTTTTATCTTAAATTTTCATTGTATAATGTTCAACCTATGTGATTAATATCCACCACTAAAATATTGACAAGCAAGGTTGTGTCAAAATTAAAATAATGAACCTGTGCATGTGTGTGTGTGTGTGTGTGTTTAAACAACTTTTATTAACTTCAACTGACTATATCTGTTTAATATTTTGTTGTATTTTTTTCAGTAAATAAGTTGTGGATAAACTGTTCCAAAGTTCAGATTTTTTTACAAATTTTTGACTACCTCAGTCATTATCAGGAACTGAATGTTGTTGATATTGTAGATAAAATTTTGTTAACTACAACATTTTATTTTGAATGTTACAATTCACATTTAATTTCAAATTCAATTTAAATATACACATCATATATAAATGATGTAATGTGTAAAACATTTTCACAAGGCTTGAGTGGACAGAAGAAGAATGTATCAAATATTTCATACATATTTTATATGCATGTTAAGTATTTTATATGCATGTTAAGTATTTTATATGCATGTTAAGTATTTTATACACTCTTTAAATGGCTCTCTCCTCTGGTGAAAGATTTTTTTCTTTTTGCTTTAATCAATTCACCTCAAGCAAGGCAATAATGCCACTAAGATGCAAGGGCCTACTGGGAGTAAAAGAGAATGAAAAGACTCAATCCTAAACTGGAAATGAGAGTTAAACCTGTTCAAAAGACTGGAGAGAAGTGTGAACTAGACAATAGGCAAAACCATCTACTCCTACTGAGGTAAAAAAAAAAATCAGATTTTAGGCAGAGACATTAGAAATATATCGATATATCTACATCGAAGTAGACTTTAGAAGGAACCAGGAATCTGATCCTAAACAGGAAACAAGGGATAAACATCAAACATCTAGTTCTGTTCAAAAAACGGGGAGGAGTGTGAACTGGACAATAGGCAAATTGTTATTTAATGTGTTTTTTTTTGTTTTTTGTTTTTTTTATAATAATAGTTGCAAATATTTTGAATATTTCTTTACAATGATTAATGCTGTATTTGGTATTATCTATTAATATTTGTCTTATGTTAATAGTTGTATTTTAGTTATTTGTAATATGATGTACAAATGAGCACAAATCACAATTAACCTACAAGAATTTGGTAAATATGTATCCAATGTAAGAATTGAATGTTTTTGATGGCAATAAAATAAAACAAATGTCAGGATGTAGCCAACAAAATCTTGTATACTAGATTGATAACATTTACTTAATTATGACTGACATAGTTGAAAGTACTTGAATAAAAATTTTAACTTTGGACAGTTTATCCACAATTTTGATTTGGATGTACAACTTGAAAATTGGAAGATACAATAAAAAAATTAAATAGTCATTGTCAGTTGAATTTAACAAAATTTGCTTAAAAGAAATCTGTCTAAATAAGCTATATATATTTATATAAGGTTGAGTCATAAGTAATTTACATTTTAGGGAACTAATTGTAATGACAAATACATAATCCTAACTATTAATCATACATGGCAGTTCAGAATTATTTTGGATTAGATGAACTTACCTTAGTTTTTTCATGGCAGTAGCAGCATACACAGTGGATTAAAAGAAAAATGTTATTCTACTCCATGACAATATAAGATTGTAAACAGAAGAATAACACAGAAAAAAATTTTGAATTCAGTTGGTCTGTTCTACTTGATCAACCATATTCACCTGAACTTGCACCAAGCTATTATTGCATTTCCTGATCAGTGCAAAATTCTTTGATAGGATAAAATTTCTCTAATAAAAAATATATTCAAGGGTTTGTTGAAAGTTTTTCACATCAGAACCTGTTGTATTTTTACTCAATCATAGATCTTGCAAATAATGGTGAATATATCTGGTTGGGAGGAAAGTTCCCACAGTTTGTAGAGCATTAAATTTATTTAGAAACTGCAGGAACTTTCTTTCCAACTGGATATAATTGAATAAAATGGAATTGTACTTCATTTTTTTGAAGAATTATGTTATATATATAAAACATGAACACAAAAGAGATATTTTAAAAAAACAACATATTAAACACTCACTGTAATGAAACTGACCACAATTTTGACATAAAAATGCTACTCTAATTAAAAGAGAAAATAATTCACTAAGATGAAAAAGTTTCAAGTGTTTTAATCACTAGTTCACCCACATTAAATTTGCATCCAGGTTCTTAAAATGTTTCACCTTTCTTGGCAGATCTTCTGTTATCACAATGTGGGAGATTTAATAACAAGGATTATGGAAAGAAAAAGAAAAAAAATCTAAATGAAATTGGCTAGATTATAAACCCAAAACACATTAAAAAAATTTTTTCTAGATTTAAAATTCCCAGCATCTCTCATTTGTGCACGTGTAATTGCATCAAGGTAAAGAAATGTAGTCCAATGAAGTCTACTTTGTCATGCATCTTTCTTCCAAAACTGTTCTTGATATATAAAAATTTATATATGGTTATCCCATATATCTCAAATTCTGCTTTGTATCCTTTGTTTAATATTGTAATTTGATGTTCATTTGCTGCCATCATTTATAGAATTAGATCAGTTATTGCTTATACATTACTTTCTTTGTAATTTATTTTTTTTACAAATTGGTACCAATTTTTAAACTCTCTGCCTTTTTATATAGCTTATTAAATGAAAACCTCAGCTTCTGCATAGACTGAACATAGTAAAAAAAAAAGAATATATTCCTAGAGGAAGATTTAGTAAATGGTAGATGTTAAGTGACTTGATGATAAAGTAATGAAGAAAAGTTACTAAATATGTAGAAAAGCAAAAAATCCAAAAATGAAGATAAGAGAGAAATAATATCTACTTGTGCTATATTATTTTAGCATAATAATAAGATTAGATTATATTAACATGATAAGATTATATTATATTGATATAATAAGATTATATTACTATGTTTATCCATCATTAGCATTTGATTATTTTATTAACTTTTTGAATTTCTACTTTCAGTTCAAGAAAACAATAAATTTTCTCTCTTTGACCCGGTTTTTAAGACACAGCCCTCCAATTCTCATTCTTCATCAGTGGCTAATTTTAGCCATAGTTATACATCTTCACAGTTTTCACCTGCAACAGTTTCAAAATTGTTACCTGGCCAACAGCGAGAACTAGCACAACCATCAGGGCATGCACTGCAGCAGAAGCAGCAAATCCCTATCCTCCAAAACCAGGTTATCCCTGGGCCTCAAACTTTTACTCCATCCCTGCAATACTCAAATCCAGTGCCACCCCAATCATTGTTAACAACTCCACAGCAGGCAGCAATGACTTTTCAGCATCCAGCAACAATTCACCAACCGGCAGCAACAATTTCCCAACACTCAACAGCATCTTCCTTTCAAAATTCAACAGCCACAGTTCCTCAGCTCACAGCAACATCTTCCCAACAGGCAGCAATATCATCCCAACACCCAGCCACTATCCCACAACATTCAGCAATAATTTCTGAGCACTCTACTGCAGCAACTTCACAACACTTAGCAACAGTGTCACAAATTCTGGCAACGGTACCCACTGAATTACCAGTAATAAATGCACAACTGCCACTAACAACTATATCCCAACCACCAAATGTATTGCAACAGAAAGTAAAATCCTTACAGCAAACAGAAGATAATGAAGGGTTACAGCCAAGAGAATCAAATGAAAAAAGCACACAGGTTGTGTCACACTCCACTGGCAATTCTCAAAAAGAAAACAAGAAATACCCAATGAGATTTTTGGATTTGCTGCATAATCTGAGTCATGTGGAAGGTACCATTTCTTACTGCATGGACCTTGGCCTTATACCCTCATCACGTATATGTCACAGATGTGGTGAAATAATGCGTTTGAAACCCTGCTCAGCAGCTGTCACAAGTGATGGATACATATGGCAATGTCGTAAACAAAAGGGTGGCATCAGGTGTGACACGTCAAGATCAATACGAGCAGGAAGCTGGTTTTCTCAGAGTAACCTAACATTGGAAGAAATACTTCAGATTACATATTGGTGGACACAAATGGTTACAGAGGATTTCCTTGTATATCAAACTGCAATCAATAAACCCTCAGTATTAGATTGGTGTAATTACTGTCGTGAACTCTGCTTGACATACTTATTAAAACAGAGCCAACCTCTTGGTGGGCCCAACACCATCATTGAAATTGATGAGTCTAAATTTGATGGCTGTAATGGTCATCGTCTTTCAGGCCAATGGATTTTCAGTGGCATCCAACAACAAAGTAACTGGACTTGCTTTATATTTCCTGTTGGAGAAAAAAAAGATGGTGCTAGTCTAATAGAAATCATTGAGCAATGGGTAAAACCAGGGACAACACTGCTCTGCAATTGGAAACCATTTGAACGATTGACAGGTGATGGCTACAATTACCTTACACTCAGCCACAGTATGACATTTAAAAATGTTGATGAAACAGAACTTGGCATTTCTCATACTGAATCTAGTTGTAACTTTTGGAAAAATATCCGTTCTTCTGTCTCTTCTGAAAATCTAAACTCTGAGAATGTATTTGATAGTGCCATGGGTGAACGAATTTGGCGTAAGCAGCAGGGAGATGAAGATGTTTTTCTTTCATTTATCAAAGCTGTCAAATTTGTGTACAGTTAGTACTTACAGGGTAACTATTTTCATTATTCCTGAATAAATTAGATTCCAAGAAAATTTGTATGTAAAAAAAGAAAAAAAAAATTGAATCTGCAAGCAAATATATCTTCTCTGGCCTCTCATAAGCCAATTACTTGCCATTGAAATGTGGCATTTTACTTAAAGTATGTGGAATAAATTTAATTTAGAAAGAAAAAGAGTACATTGCCAATGTGTTTTTTCATTTGTTAGTTTCAATTTATGAGAAATTGGGAGCTGGATCATTAAACTACTTTATAAGTTCTTTTTTTTTTTTTCAAATCAGAGTTTAAACAACTTTATTTTAGGCTTTTGTGATTTTGATGTGCAGTTCTCTCACAGGTAAAATGATGGCATTATTTGAGGTAACCAATTTTCTTTACATCTATTATCCTAATCAGATTCATTCATCTACATCTTTGATGTGTTTATACACCTTATACATAGTATAATTAAATCTCTACAACATAATTATCACTGTCTTTATGAAACAGAATGTCATTTATTTTTTTCATTGCTCCCTATTAATAAGAAACATCTTTTCAATATCTGAAAAATATTTATTGTTATTTTTAATGGAATGAATTTTTAAAGTAAAATAACTTATTGTAGATGTGGTTTCTGAGCAAAATTGAAACTTTAAGACAATATTTGACTTGATCTCAGTTTTCTCTTATTAATGCACTGTCTCAACATTATTGTTATGTTCTTAGCTAAATTGTCTTATTTCCTCAGTAAAAAATGTATTTAAAATTAAATTCATAATTCTATAATAGTTCTAAAATAAAATTATGCAATCAAGTTTTCTTTTTCATTGCAATTATAAAATTATGATTTTGCAGCTTTTTATATCTTGTTACTAAGCTATATTTCTTATTTTTCAATTCCTTTACATTTTTCCATTAATGAGTCAGACTCATATGAGAAACAATGTTTATTTTCATAACCGTCCGTTCACTAAAAACACTTTAATTTCTCTTTCCTTTAATATTGTAGTCATTTCTAAAATTATCCTACCAGATATAAAAGTAATTTCTTCTAATCTGAGATCTTTATATAAATCCAAACAATAGATGGGACTTAATACCTCCACATATGTTTTTATTTACCCTATGGGTAATACTTCTGGAAACTTTTTATGAAGTATCTTACAGGTCTTATATTCTGTTTCATTGAATGTGTTGGTGCTCAGCAACACTTCTAAAAACATAGGCACAATTCATTAATTGTTCTGTAGCTGGATTATTGAGACAGATTCATTGTAAACTAGAGGAATGATTATATTTGCATGTTACAAAACCTATATATGCCTCTTTAACAATTCTCTGATCTGTATATCTTGTTTAGACTTTCATTCATAGAGAAATATATAGAAAGCATGCCATTGTAATATAAACGTATTGTAATGTTTTTATATCACCTACTATCCAAGAAAAAATTAAGATGTGACTATATAGTAGGATTGTTTGTTATTAGTTTATTACAGATCTAATATATCAGAAATTGCATTCATTGTAATAACATGACTTATGGTGTAATTATAGAAGGGTCTAATGCCATCATGTGAAATACATATACATACGCATCTACATAATGTGTGTGTTCATGTAACAGATAAAGAATATAAAGAATATTAATTTATTGCTACTTAGACATACAAGCTGACATTCAACTATTCCTGTAATTGTCAAGCTTTCATAATAACCAAGCTATTTAATAGCTGGTACATTTAGGTGCTTTTAAAATTTCACTTTCAACATTCTTGTACATATCTGTGAGTATGTTAGTGTGTATGTCATTCTGTGTGGCAAATTGTGTAAATATATTCCTTGATGCCTTGGGCAGTGAATGATGTCTGCTGTGCATTTATAGAAAATCCTTTTCATCTGAGCACCAGCCCTCACATTCCTCATGCAGAACAGACATGCTACTCTGACCTCAGTCAAGTAACAAACTATATATATATATATATATATATATATATATATATATATATATATATATATATAATGTTTGTGTATATCTGTTTCCATTTATATGTATGATAGCAGGAATACACACACACACACACACACACACACACATATATATGATTGTATTGTACATTTTCTCTCATAGAATGTCTTGAGTATTTCAGTTAGAAAATTGTTCTATGTTATAATGAGTCAAAAAACATTAGATATATTTTTATTTATAAAAGAGTTTGGAATTTATGGTGCTGATCTCCAAACCTGAACTTTATTTTATTTTTCATTTTATAGATTGCAGATTCTTTGTGTGGTGTTTGCATCATTCAATATTTATTTCCATTGCATTAGAACTGCCTTATATACTTTGGATAACTAGTTGCCATAACTAGTTTTGAAAAGTACATGACTTGACAGAACCCAGTTATTGTTTTGATAGTTGGCTTTTTATGGAATTTCAAAAGACTCTCTTCAATTTATGCCTTATGTAATATTACCTACATCATGCTAAAGATGTGGCCTAAGAAGATTTTATTCTATATTTCGTAAAGAATACCATGGATAACATATTCTGGGATGAATTTCAAGCATTCTCCTTTTAGTAAAGTGTAGTTATAGCAGTCCTCTGTGGCCTTTCATTACTGGTGCTTTAAATTGTATCATTAAAAGGTTCTATTCCTTTTTGTTAATGCAGAAGTTTTCATACCACCAGAAAATGACTGCATACAATCAAGTGGAGGACAGAATATATTAGAATATACACTTTTATTTTTCTTGTATGCACCTGTAAAATTAACATTTTAATCAGATTTTTTTTTACTTATAAGTAATAAAATAAGAATAAACAAATTGTTTTGATATTTTAGAGCCTGCAACCATTGTAATTTCAATAATGAACTCTACCACAAGTCAATTGGTTGTGTTTTGTTAGGAGTTCACATTTTTTTGTGTGTGCAAAATAAGGCTTCAGATATTTTATTAATTTCTCCTTTTCTTTTTAATATGAAAAAGAATTATTTTGGTGAAAATGGTTATCAGTTTATTTACAGTCTCTTCTACCACTGCTGTTGCTGAGTAATGGGAAATTTTTAATTTTATTGTGTATTTGTGTTAAAAATTGATATTATATTCCGATATTTTTCTTGTTTTGTCTGTAAAATATTTCTTTATTTAATTCGTAATAAAAAATTACATGTATTTTATGTGATAAATTGATAAAATATACTGTTTAAAATTGAATTAATTTATCTTTAAGTTAACTGACATACTCCTTTAAAATGGTTAACTGGGATTCTGGTAATGTTTGATGACAAGAAAATAATGTAATATTTTTTGGATAAAGTTGGTGATTCTTTTAAATCTATCTATATATTATATATATATATATATATATATATATATATCCCTCCCACTCCATCACATTAAATAATTTTGTCCTATAATAAGTAAGTAACCCAAAATCTTGCTGCTAAGATATCAGCAGAAGATTTTTTTCTTGTATTTAAACTTTGCCAGCCCTGCTTTAAGAATTATATTGTTTATTTGTATTTTATTTTTATATATTTAGATCATTTATTGATCTGTGGTAAAGGAGTGATGATCAGTTTCTTGTGTGTAAAACTTACAATTTAAGATTATGTGAAGATCAACTTTGATTTTGCCCCCAATAATTTCCATATAACAAATACTTCTGCTATATGTTACTAAATTAGTCATAGTGATGACAGAATCTTTTTTTCATTACTTAATTAAAATCTGTAGGAATATCAAATTAATTAAACTTTAAAATTTGCTACATTTGATATATTTTTTATGGATTTCAGTTTTATTGTGCTGCTGGATATTTTTTTAAATAC